GGTGGGACTGGATGGTCTTTAAGGTCCCTTCCAACCCAAACCAGTCTGGGCTTCTTTGACGAATTACACCACTGTATTTTTTTCCCATCACCTTGGAACTCCAACCAAACTCCCTGAGGCAGGTCCATCCCTGCCCAAGCCCCTGTCCCACCTCAGCTGCATGCCCGTGCTCCACGAGCAGACGTCCTTCCTCAGCAGGAGGTTGTTGAGGGCAACGGCGTTGATCATGTAGAAGAGCTGCTTGAAGACCTGCTGCACAATCTCCGGGTCCAGCCCCTGGTCACTCATGATGCTGTGGAAGGTGTTGAGCTGACGAATGATGGCATCTAAGCTGTAAGAATTGTCACCATCTCCCATGCTGGAGGAGCGATTCCTGTAGCCCATTGGTTTGACACCAGAAAGTCCTTGGATACTCTCATTTTCCAGCACCGCAGACACTGAGAAAATGGGAAAAAAAGTGACCTAAACGCATCACCTCACCTCTGTCACTGACTCCCCAACTGGAAGACAGGATCTGTCACAAGATCAGGGAATTGTTCTGGTTGGAAAAGACCTTTAAGATCACCCAGTCCAGCCATTCCCCCAGCCCTGCCAAGGCCACAGGTCCCTCAGCACCACATCTACATGGCTTGGAAACCCCTCCAGGGATGGGGACTCCAGCCCTGCCCTGGGCAGCCTGGGCCAGGGCCTGACAACCCTGGCCAGCAAGAAATGCTGCCCAACATCCCATCTCAGCCTCCCCTGGCACCACTGCAGCCCATTTCCTCTTGTCCCATCCCTTGTTCCTGGGGAGCAGAGCCCGACCCCCCTGGCTCCAACCTCCTCTCAGGCAGCTGCAGAGCCAGAAGGTCTCCCCTCAGCCTCCTTTGCTCCAGCCTGGACACCCCCAGCTCCCTCAGCTGCTCCTCCTCACACTTGTGCTCCAGCCCCTTCCCCAGCTCCATTGGCCTTCTCTGGACACGCTCCAGCCCATCCATGTGGGAAAAACCCCCTCATCCCTATTAGTTTGTATCATGGGGGAAAAGCAAAACTCATCCAGGTCTGTCCCCATAACTCCACATCACTGCCACCACAAGGCCCTGCTTTAGACCTAGACTTTTTGGGTACCATCTGCCCCTTTCCCAAACTCAGGCCATTCCTTTGAGGGGAAGTCATGCGAGCATCCTTCAAAGGTCTGAAAAACACTCCTAAGTTTATAATGATGGCAAAAAAAACCCCAACTGTCCTAAAAGCTAAGGAGGTGTGAACGTACCGACCATGGGTTGCAGAATGGCCTCTGCTATCTTGATGAGCTGCTGGTAGATCTGGATGGAGAGGTGGCCCAGCACCTGGCGGTACTCGGTCAGGTCGAAGTTCTTCAGGCAGTGCTCGTTCTGCTTCGGCGTGTTTTGGGTCATGAAACCCTAAAGAGGAGGAGATGAACCCCCCGGTTTCATTATCCCATCTATTTCTAAGTCCAGTAAAATCACTGGATTAAAACAAACGTGGAGTAAATTACAGCCAGATGTTACCCAAGTGCATTTTGCAGCTCTGGGTGAGATTCATAAATCCCTTCTGATTTCCTCAGCCATTAATTATTACTAGGGGCTTTTTGAAGGAAAACATCATAAAGTGAGAAGTTTCATTCCTTCCACCTTAAGCAAGGAGCAATATTTTTGTTGATTTTAATATATAGATGAACTAGAAAGTGACTTTTCAGTCCCTGAGAAACTTTTTTTAGCTATTTGTCTATCCCTGAGTTCCAATTACTTATGGGAAATTAGGTATTTTAAGGTTAAGATATTAGAAAAGAAAAAATACATGTATAACCACATGCTATGCTCTGACAACATTTTAAACTGATCTGAGGTTCAGGAAAGTCTCCAAGTAATTGAATTTATTCCCTGCCTTTTGCTGAAGCAGCAGCTCATCCTGCAATTGGAGGTTGCAGCCCTGACTTCTGAGCTCAGCCACAAAACATCAGGATTGCTGGCAGAAGCAAACATGATCACAGAACCCCAGACTGGTTTGGGTTGGAAGGGACCTTACAGATCATCTAGTTCTAACCCCCCTCCATGGGCAGGGACACCTCCCACCAGCCCAGGCTGCTCCAAGCCCCATCCAACCTGCCCTTCAACACTGCCAGGGATGGGGCAGCCACAGCTTCTCTGGGCAACCTGGGCCAGGCTCTCACCTCCCTCACAGCAAAGAATTTCCTCCTCATGTCTCACCTAAATCCTCCCCTCTTCCAGTTCTAATCCATTCCCCCTCATCCCATCCCTCCCTGTCCTTGTCCCAGGTCCCTCCCCAGCTTTCCTGGAGCCCCTTCAGGCACTGGAAGCTGCTCTAAGATTTCCCTGGGGCCTTCTCTTCTCCAGGCTGAACACCCCAACTCTCCCAGCCTGGCTCCAGAGCAGAGCTGCTCCAGCCCTCTCAGCATCTCTGTGGCCTCCTCTGGACTCTCACCCAACAGCTCCACGTCCTTCTTGTGTTGGGGGCTCCAGAACTGGACACAGTTCTGCAGGTGGGGCTGCCTGTTCATCAGCTCTTACCAATTTGGTGTCCAAATGAGAACTGTGCAACTTTTTGTTGTTGTTTCTTGACTAGTACAACATGCACAAACACAACATGTACAACTGGAGTTGACTTCAGATTTTCTCCTTCATTCTGACTAATGAAAAAGTCTCTCTCTGCACTGCAAGCTTGCATTTAGTTGGGGATTTTCTTTTGAACCCCCTTTCCTTAAAAATAGGTTGGATTTCAAGCCAAATATTTTGGGAACTGCTCAGAAGTTTTTCTTCCCCTGTTTTTTTTTTCCACCAAATTATCAATTTGCAAATAGCTGCTTGATTTAAAGCAGCAAATAATAGCAAAGATTGTGACATTAAATTTGGTTAGTTTTTCACTCTGATTTTCTGGGCAGGATTTTCTTTACATGTAATGTTCTAATCCAGGCAGAAGAGGGCAAACAGGAGCTTCATTATTAGCAAATATAATCTAAATTGTTTTTCTTCTTAATTTAAAGCACTGAGGTTTCCCACACCAGACACTATCTTGTGAATGATCTTAATAGACAATTTGATCCCATGATTTTTTTTTGTCTTTATTCTTACAGCTTGATTTCAATATATATTTATTCATAAACTAAATGAGAAACAACATAATTTGGCTCTTTTGAAAATATTAAGAGCCAAAGAATGTGGCTACAGGGCATAATGTACTAAGAGGACTGTGTTGATCTGATTTTGTCAGAAGGGACTGGCTATAATTAAACTGACTTCAACTTCTGAAATATTACTGAGGTGGCAAGAAATGAGAGCATTTCCTTCCCAAATCTTACACTATGGTTGTGTATATTTGTTGTCTCCAAGTGATGTTAATTCTGAACTACTTGCACAGAAGAGGAAAGATAATAATCAGTAGAAACATTCAGAATAAAACTGTAAATGTTGGAACTTTTTTTCCTGGATAAAAATATAATGAAATGCTCCTGTCACATGTTGTGTTAAAAAGGTCTTGATTTTGGCTCTCAAATATCTTGTCTTGGTACAATGTCCTGTGAAGCTCTGGTCTAGTCCAGACTGGATATAAGAGAGGAATTCATTATGCTGAGGGTGGTGAGACCCTGGCCCAGGTTGCCCAGAGAGCAGGGAGATGCCCATCCCTGGACTCATCCCAGCTCAGGTTGGATGGAGCTCTGAGCAACCTAGTCTAGGTGCAGATGTCCCTGCCCACTTGAAAAGTCCCTTCCCACCTGAACCACTCTGTGACTGTAGGAGCTGCCTCGTTGTATCCAAATGAACAAAGGAGGAAAGTCAGAGATGACCCCACATGGTAGCCAGAGGGAAGCCACGAGAGGCAGGAGAACTACAGGCCTTTCCTGGAGGAATGACAGGAGAGAGGAGAGCCCCCCTTACCGAGTCCCCGCTGTACTGCTTCAGGCAGTGCAGGAGGCGACACGTGTTCGCCAGCCAGAACGACGTCACCTGGAAGTCATCGTTGTGTTTCTGCAGGAACAGAAGGAAAACATGTGAGACCCTCCCCCTTCAAGGTCATTTCGAGATTCTCCACCTAGACTGGGAAGCTCTTGTCCTCACGCGGGAGGTGTTCACCACTGCTCCCTGCAAACACAACCTTTAATCTGTGCATGTCAACAAGTTTACTGCTTGGATTATAATTCTCCTGGTCCTTTGGGTCCACGGAGATGCTGGGAGGGCTGGAGCAGCTCTGCTCTGGAGACAGGCTGGGAGAGTTGGGGTGTTCAGCCTGGAGAGGAGAAGGCTCCAGGGAGACCTTAGAGCACCTTCCAGTGCCTGAAGGGGGGTCCAGGAAAGCTGGGATGTGATGGGATGAGTGGGAATGGATTAAAACTGAAAGAGGGGAGATTGAGGTGAGACATGAGGAGGAAATTCTTTGGTGTGAGGGTGGTGAGACCCTGGCCCAGGTTGCCCAGGGAAGTTGTGGCTGCCCCATCCCTGGCAGTGTTGAAGGGCAGGTTGGATGGGGCTTGGAGCAACCTGGGCTGGTGGGAGGTGTCCCTGCCCGTGCAGGGGGTTGGATCTAGGTAATCTTTAAGGTCCCTTCCAAGCCAAACCACTCTGTGATGCTGTGATTCTAAAAAGGGAAGATGTAACAGTGACTGGCTTTGAAAGTCACTCCAAGAGCTGAACAATCCACACTTGGACATGGTTATAACCAACCTCCACCACCCTAACCCCAAGGAAAGAGCAAACTGGCACCTACCTTCAGCACTTTCTTAATGCCATTGATGGTGGAGGTGAGCAAAGAGTGCACTTTCTGGTCATCGTTGATGTAATCCGCGTGTCTGATGCACATGTAGAGGATGTAGGCAGGGAGGCAGGGAACAGTAGCCGACACTGTCTGGGGCTTGAGATCTAGAAGGTTTGAGTTTAGTTTTTAAAAAAATCCACTTCACATTTTTTTTCCCAGCTTCCTGGTGAAGCAGGTAACACCAGAGCAGGAGATGGACCCAGGCAAACCCGTCTCCGCCAGCCCTGGGGAGGCTGAGGTTTCCGCCCTACAACTTGCATCCCTCTCTGCACAATGGACAGAGAACCAGAGACCCAACTGCAGGACAGATGGACTTCCTGGAGTTGGCTAAAGCTACTGAGCTGCAGCAGCAGGGCTGAGGATGGTCACACAATGTGTGCTGAAGTTTGTGACACTATGACATTACACTTCAGGGATGCACTAGATCTTCTTTACCACATGGAAAGTCCACCCAAGCAGCCCACCCATCACCTCAGAAAAGCTCCCTGAAGCTTTCAGGAATACATCCCACAGGATACAAACCCCTCCACGGAATTCACAGCTCAGTAAATCACTCGAGATACTGAATGTTAATTTTAGCTGTGGGAATTTGCAGCCTCTAAAGGGAGAACCTGCCTGATGAGGAGAACATCAAAGATCACAGCAATGAAAGGCCCTGCTCTTGGAGCACTTCTTTAGATCCTCACTAGACTCTGGTGGGGTGAGAAAGTGGTAGTAAATACTGACACTTTGGAAGAGCTGACTTCTCCAACAGCCTTGAAATAAGGGGATACTGCAGGAGTTCTGATCAGACATTCCAGTAATACAGCTCCTGGGTTTATTATCCCTTGCAGTGACCATCAAACATCTGACAAACTAAACTACCTTTATTCCACTGCTGTGCCAAACCCCCAGGGTGTATCCTTTGCCACCCCCTCCCCACCTACCACTACATCTTATCAAGCTCAGCAAGTTCCTGCCTGCCCTAAAAACCACAGCCTGTTTTTTTTTTACATTTTCTAGTTTCTGCTGTCCCTAAGGATTATATCCATGCTGGTATCTCTGCTTAGTGCTCCACTTTACCCCTCAAAACCTCCGGCACCAGAAACCTGCAGCCCAGGAGGGATGGATTTGAGAAGATCTATTTGACTATCCTGAGATCTCAAGTTAACAAGTCCTCCTAGGAAAGAGAAGAAGGAACCAGGCAGAGGAGGAGAGCAGGTTCCTTACCTGTAATGAGGTTTCGGATGAGGAGTGGCTCATCTTCTTTGTAATATTCCAACATGCCCTGAAAATCCTTCTCTTTCCTCTGGACTGAAACTTGCATGTTCTGCTCGTGCCGCCTTCTCTCCGCCGGCACCGTGGCTTGGGATGCTGTGGAAAGAGCATGAAAGGTGGGACCTGCTGACCAGGAACTCTTCATGTCCTCTGCTGGCCTCAGAGCAGACACCAGGACAAAGGGTTATATATTCCATTTCCAATAATCACAGAACCATTCTGGTTGGAAAAGACCTTTAAGATCACTGAGTTCAACCATAACCCCACTCTACTGACTGCTGATGTCATCACCTTCCATAGACTGATAAAGCATAAAGAACAAGGTCTTGAACAGGTTGCCCAGGGAAGCTGTGGCTGCCCCATCCCTGGCAGTGTTGAAGGGCAGGTTGGATGGGGCTTGGAGCAACCTGGGCTGGTGGGAGGTGTCCCTGCCCATGCAGGGGGGTTGGAACTAGATGATCTTGAAGGTCCCTTCCAACCCATACCAGTACGGGATTCAACAATTTTAATCCTAAATGGGTTCAATCCCCTTGGATTGCCAGGGCAGAGCAGTTCCCTGCTGGCCTACTAGTCTCCTCTCTTTATCAGCTTTTAGAGAAAACTAAGGAGAAAATCCTGCTGCTCCGCAAAGCTGTGAAACCAAAATGCTGTCCCCCCACCCCAATGTCTTCTAAAAGCCAAGTCACCTTCAAAATCTTGGACCCTCTTCATGTAAATCTTCAGCTGCTTCTTCAGCTTCCTTTCATTCTTTTCCAACCTTTCCAGCAATTCTTTAAGATCCTGAGAAACAAGACGTATTGGGTTAAGAATAATAATAATAATTAAAGCTGAGAATAACTCATTTAGAATGAGTTTGAGGCTGATGTCACTTGGTAATGAGGACCAAGTGGGAGCCTCTTGGTAGAACAAGAGGTCTATTATTTCTGGATTTCTTGGAGACCTCCTTGCCTAGACCACAAGGACTGTGGATTTTGGGTGCCTGCTTCTTCTAGAAGACAAGCTTCAGAAGTATAAAAACTAACTAATAAGGTATCTCTGGAATCATAAGAGTCATGCAGCTACCAAACAACAGTTCCAGGCCAAGTAGCAACGGTCCCAGATGCACCAGTGGGAGATGCAGAAGAACCCTGCAGTGTTCAGGAGTGGTGAAAGAGACCCCAGAACCTTTTCCTCCCCTTCACATTTCCTGTTTTCTTTCTCTCAACCTGATGTTTTCCCTCTGTCTCAGGCTGTGTTTTCAGAGCAGCCTCTTACCAGATTTTCATTGGTGAGCCGTGTGATTTCTTGCTGAAGTCCAAACTCCACCTGGGCCTCAGGAGACAGCTGCAGGGTCTGCAGGAAAGCCTGGTGCTGCTTCTCCATCTCTTCTTGCAGGGCATCCACTTGGGTTTTCAGAGCTTCTATCTCCTCCTCATGCTCTCTCCTCTGATCCTGCAGCTGGGCTTCCAGCAACCTGAGAAAAAGCCCACACAGCAAGTGACTTGGTCATCGTGGCACAACCACCATTTGAGCTTAGATCCTTCAAAGTCAGCCAACTCAGGAGATGTTTCTGGTCAACCTCCCTATAAAATTGACACACATAGAAGGGTGCTGTGGCTGTTACTGCCACATCAGGCTATAGTAATTTGCTATAGTGCATGTTAAACACTTTTTAAATTGGCCAACATAAAAGGAGGACATGGAGCACCTGGAGAGGGTCCAGGGGAGGCCACAGAGATGATGAGAGGGCTGGAGCAGCTCTGCTCTGGAGCCAGGCTGGGAGAGTTGGGGTGTTCAGCCTGGAGAAGAGAAGGCTCCAGGGAGACCTTAGAGCAGCTTCCAGTGCCTGAAGGGGCTCCAGGAAAGCTGGGGAGGGGCTTGGGACAAGGGCAGGTGGGGTGAGGGTGGTGAGACCCTGGCCCAGGTTGCTCAGGGAAGCTGTGGCTGCCCCATCCCTGGCAGTGTTGAAGGGCAGGTTGGATGGGGCTTGGAGCAAGCTGGGCTGGTGGGAGATGCCCCTGCCCATGCGAAGAATTTCTATCTAATGTCCAACCCAAATCTCCCCTCTTCCAGTTTTAATCCATCCCCCTCATCCCATCCCTCCCTGCCCTTGTCCCAAGCCCCTCCCCAGCTTTCCTGGAGCCCCTTCAGGCACTGGAACCTGCTCTAAGGTCTCCCTGGAGCCTTCTCCGGGCTGAGCAACCCCATATTATCAAGACCAACCTTTAACCCAAGCCTTCCAAGAAGGGAAGGTCCATCAAACCAGACTCTGCCAAGTATTGGTCCCAGACTGCACAGGGAGATGGTGGCAAAAGGACCCAAGGGGACAATCCAAGCCTATGTTCTTGCTATATACCTTATAGATGTGTACTCCTGGTCAGAGCAAAGGAGAGCCACACACCGCACTCAGGGGCTTGGGCTCTGCTGGCATGGGATGCAAATGACCATCCTCAAAAATGAGGAAGACTCTGGTGTTAATAACTTGGTGTTCACCCAGGATGTGCACAGACATGGAGCTGGACCAGTGGGGAACACGCTGGGATTCTTTCAGGACCACTGGCAAACCCTGGAGATTCATGTCTGTGAACTGTTTCCCTGCAGGAACAATTGGGCATGGGGTTGGTTTTTTTTGTTGTTACTTGTTCTGGGGTTTTATTTTTAAGAATTGTATAAAAGAACAGATGCTCTCTATGTAAGATGCCTGGATGAAAACTATTAATCATTCTCCAATTTGGGGCTTTTTGTTGGTGGTGGTTTTAGAAGATCTAAACAACACAAGCTCCATTCCCATTTTCCAGTAGAAAAAGATGTTCTCCAGCCATAGCATTATAAGCAATAATGGACCCAGCCTCATAATCATGTTGTCAGGAGTTACACTCTTAACAGGCTTGGAAAATCCAAGCTCCCCATGAAGTAAGTATTAAGCACGTGATTCGCATTTTGTTTCTTCACGTGGGTTCAAACAAAAGGCAGGGAAAAAACTTGCTCCTTCTGAAAGCGTGAGCTCCTACACTGCTTTGAAAAACAAATGAATCATCCCTGTTATTTTCCCTGTTCTTTGGCTTTCCTCTGATCCTTCTAGATGTGACCACTGGTGATGACTTCATCCAAGAGATTATTTTACCTTTTCCTCTTTAGGGTGCAGATAAATTCATAATTTTTATAACAATCATATCTACTGGAGCCTCATAACCCCCTGCAGGAGAGCACAGACTAATTAACAACTGATTCTGAGCTCTTCTGAGCAACAAGTTGAAGAAGGAAAAGAATCCAGATGTCCTGCTTTCCTTTCATCTCCATTTCTGGTTTTAAATGTTCTTGAGTTGGGAGATGAGAGATCCTTTAAGAACCACCAGCATTCCCTCGAGATCGAGAGGTTTTGCTTTGGGGTGTCCCACTGGAATATCTGCCCACCAGAGCAGGACACAGGGAGAAGGTGTGGAAGGGTGACATAGTGTGTCCACCACACTCAGGCATTAGTGACAACAGGCACCAGCACCAATGCCCAATTAGCATCTCAAGTCATCTGAAAATTAGGGGGTGGGAGGGGTGTTGATTCCTCAAGTTGGATATCCCATCTCCAGCTGCTCCCAGAGAGGACAATGGGTCTGACAGAGAGGACAGCAGAGGAAGAGAAAGCAACAGAAGGACAAGTGAAAAGGGGAGAAGAAGTGGTGGGGGGAAAAAAGAAAGTCTTTGACCTGGCAACTTGCTTTAAACCTTGGTAAGCCAAGCCGAGCTCTCCATCTTCATTGAGATACCCCCAGTCCTCAGTCTTGCTAGAAAGAAAGGACAGAAAAAGGAAAGGAGAGGACAGAGAAAGACAAAAGGTCAATTGCAACAGAAGGGAGGAAGGTGCAGAACCCTTATTACATTAAATTAATATTGTAAAGCACACTCTTACTGTATTGTCATTCCCTTTCCACCACGGAGGAGGAGAACCAAGCCCTGGTTGTGCCTCCTACAACACTCCTGGCAACTGGAGCTTCTCCTCCTTCCCCAACTATGAAACACATCCTCATGCAGCCCTTTCCTTCTTTACCCACCTCACCCCCAAATCCTTCAGGTCAGAAGGGACCATTGGAGATTCTCCAGTCCAACCTCCCATCAGGTTATCATCACTCCAGATATGTTACTGGTTTTATGAAAAATGCCCAACTCCTGGAGGTCAGAGACTGGGTTTTTGTTTCTGTATGGCTGAACTGCTTCCCATGTGGTTGTCCACCCCACAGCAGCTAGCCAACATCCACATTAGAACCTTATCCTTAAAAACCATGGAGGAAAAACATGGACCAAGAGGGATAAATGAGAGAGCAGAAGTCAGCATGCGGATAAAGGGAGAGGTATCCAAACACAGACAGGGTCATACCATAGACACTGGCCCAGCCTGGAGAAGGTTCCAGGGAGACCTTAGAGCACCTTCCAGTGCCTGAAGGGGCTCCAGGAAAGCTGGGGAGGGGCTTGGGACAAGGGCAGGGAGGGATGGGATGAGGGGGGATGGATTAAAACTGGAAGAGGGGAGATTTGGGTGAGACATGAGGAGGAAATTCTTTGGTGTAAGGGTGGTGAGAGCCTGGCCCAGGTTGCCCAGGGAAGCTGTGGCTGCCCCATCCCTGGCAGTGTTGAAGGGCAGGCTGGATGGGGCTAGGAGGAACCTGGGCTGGTGGGAGGTGTCCCTGCCTATGCAGGGGGTTGGAACTAGATGATCTTTAAGGTCCCTTCCAACTCAAATCATTCCATGCTTCACAGCCTCATTTCTCCTTTATCCTTACCTTGGAGATACAGGTCTGCGACAGCAGCTGGTGACCTGCACCCCTTTGGCCACCCAGTTCTAAAAGCTCTTCACAACTTTCCATACTGCAGTCACAGTCCTTTGCTCATGTTCATACAGGCATGATTAAAATCCTAATTAAGTCATGATCTTCCCCAGCCTGGGCTGCTAAACAACATTCTGCAACCAGTCGACAAAGTGACAAGGTGTGTTGTGTTTATGAAGAGCCATTCAAAATATACCCCAAGTCTTAGTCCTGCTCCTATTTCTGCACTGGAAGCAAAGTCAAAAACCCAGTTCACCTCCACGTTGGCTTTTCTACCTGCCCTGTATCTCCTGCCCTTGGGGACACCTTGCCCCAAAGATGAGGGCTCCTCATGCAGTAAAACACCTCCATCTTTGGTCTCATCTTTACAGCCCAGCCTTGACCCGAGGTCCAGAACACAAGCCAGAAGCTGGTAGCTCTCTAGAACATGTTGTTAACTGTGGTCTTCACCTCACCTATCACACCTTGGTGATGGAAGTGGAAGGGACCTGGGCCACACTTACCGGTTGGTCTCGCACATCCCCTGGTAGGCTTCGATCGCGTCCTCCTGGTCAATGTGCTTGTCACTGTTGGGCCAGCTGGCACTGATGGTGATGCTCTCCTAAAGTCAAGATGCAAAACACAGCAGCATGACATCCTGTACCCCTCCTCCTGTCCTTCAAGGTTCCTGCTACCAAGAAACTCCCAACCATCCTTAAGACATTCCTCAAGGCATCCATCAGACTAGAGAGAGGTCCTGTGACCTCACGCTCGTGCAAAGAGACAGCAGCAGAGATCAGGGGGTGGAAGAAGAATGCAGAGAACCTAGGAGGGAGATAGGGAGGGTGTGGGGTCTGAAATACAAACCAAAGCCATCAGGAATGGTAAGGCAGTGAACTGAAAAGCCCAAGTGAGGGTTTTCTGAAAGTGTCCTCTTTCATAGGAACATGGTCTACACAAAAAGCCCTGAAAGGACTGTGATGGGACAGGCTCCCTTCCTTGTCTACACACCACTAGAAACATGTTATAGCTGCACCAGCATCACATGAGCAGAATCTGGCCCAGAAGCTCTTTTTCCCCATCTCATTTCCTTGCTCAACAAGCCAGTTGTCACAAAACACCACCAGGAACATCTCAGACCACCATGCCTTAGTGTAGGGCTGGAGAAGTTGTTCCTTGGTGTGAGCTGGCTAGACCTCATCAGGTCTCGGGTCAAGAACACAGCAGTGCAGACCCCCATGGGACATACAGTCCTGGGCTAAAATGATGGCTGAACCTCCTACAACCCTGCAGAACATCCTAGAACCTCCCTGAGCCATCCTGCCACCCAGGGCCTACAAAAGCAGAAATGTCTTGGCTCAGGCAAGGCAGTGAATTTTCAAGAACAGAAGAAGCAAAGGAAAAGCACTTCCATTCCCTTCTCCATTACCATGTTTTTCCCCATCTCTTTTTGCTGGGCTGCCTTCATAATCTGTGTCCTCAGGATGAGCACCTCTTCCTTCCTCACTTCCAGCTCCTCGCTGGCCGATTTCAGCTGATTCAGTAGGAGGTTGTAGCTGTCCTGAATGTCATTGGAGGAGTTTTTCTGGGTTGCTTGTTCTGCCACAGCCTTCCTCAGCTCATTGAGTTCATTTTTCAGCTTCTTGTTCTCTGACTCCAGCTCTTGCCTCTGGAAAACACCAGGAACCAGTTTCTCTAACTGCCCTGCAGCACCTCATCTTCTTCTGAGACACCTCTAAGATAATTCCATTTACCAATGATCAATTCATGCCAGGATCTGGATTTTCCTGCCCCCCTGGCCACTTGTGGCTCAGAATAAGATTCTGGCTGTAATCAATGACTTGTTGCCATTTAATAATAACAACACAGGGGGACAGAGGGGACATCTTCTATTTGTTTACACTATTTTTAAACCACAGGCACCATGTTGTTTAAATCCCCTTTAATATTTATTAGATCACATGGAAGATGCTGCTTTACACAATCATCATGGCAAATCCCAGACTGGTTTGGGTTGGAAGGGACCTTAAAGACCATCCAGTCCCACCCCCTGCATGGGCAGGGACACCTCCCACCAGCCCAGGCTGCTCCAAGCCCCATCCAACCTGCCCTTCAACACTGCCAGGGATGGGGCAGCCACAGCTTCCCTGGGCAACCTGGGCCAGGCTCTCACCACCCTCACACCAAAGAATTTCCTCCTCATGTCTCACCTCAATCTCCCTCTCCCAGTTTTCATCCATCCCCCTCATCCCATCCC